TTCTCAAATTCAATAAAGACTGGCTGGGAGAATCTGAAGGAAGGACTCTGGGAGAAGTGATATGGCCAGGAAAGGAGGAACAGGGCGAAAGTCTCAAACGGGATTTCTTTCTCAATTTCAGGGATTGGTTTTCTCTCCCTCCGGGAGCTACTCTCAGAGCTCCAAAATTCTTTCCTGACCCTTTTCCACCTTTGGCCTTATCCCTAGTTGACATGCAATGGTATGCTTTGTGATGGGCATTAATCCTTCTCAAAGTTCTTTTTGATCTCTCCATTCTCTTCAAGAAGAGGGTGGAAAAAGGAAGAAAGGGTAGAGCTAGCAGCTAGCTTTGGAAGGTGTTTTTTTACGCCTATTATAGGTGAAGAGGTTGCTTGTTCTGATAACTATGTGCTCTATGTGTATATCCAAGGGACGCTGGACCCGTTTTCCAGCAGGTGAAGCTCCCCACCAATAGATGGAGCGTTTTGAAAAAAAATAAAAATAAAAAATTATGGCTGCCTCATCATTGTACGAGGAACCCGAAGTTCAGCCAGGATTTGTTTCTGGGCTGCAACCAATTCGGCCAGCAATTCCTGCTGGACATTCTGCGCTTCTGCCACCGATAGTAAAGCATTACGCAACACACGAACAACAGGGTCTAATGCCGCCTCATCTAGTCCTTCCAGTTTGCCTAACTCCTCTCTTCTACTACCTAGTCTAGCTTTTCTCAGGATTGCTTTCCTTCTTCTCTCTGCTGCCTCGTCCAATTGCCGTTGTAGCTCATCCTTAAGTTCTTCTGCTTGTCGGATTTCTAAATCCTCCGGCGTGAGTTGAGTCTGCTGGCTGACTCGCAAGCTAGCAGTCTGGCTAATGGACCCTTGAGAACCACTCTGACTGACTCCTGACAAAGCGGACTGTGAAGAGGTTTGCGAGGTAGTAGATGAAGTAGCCATGGTTGCACCGGTGCTAGCTGAAATTCTAGTCCTGGCACTATCCTCAGTTGCCCTCGCTCTTCTTGCCGCTGCTCTCTCTCTAGCCTCTCTCCGCAATCTTCTCTCGTCTCCCGGACCTAACTCCAAGAATGTCAAGGGTCGACTACGGGCAGTCCCGCGAGTAGTCCTACGGTCGTCCACTAACAACTCCTCCTCACTAGTGCTTGCATCACTCATGAGCTACAGTGTGTGTGATCTAAACTAGAATCCACACTGAATCCTACCTTAGCCTGACACCCAACCGATTATGAATCACAACTAATTTCGGTCGGATGGAACAAAAACAGTTAGGTGATATAGTAACAACTTATGTCAGGTCCTACAGGATATATTAAATCTATTTTTAGATTACCCTAGGACGAATTGCAATAAAACAAAGATCTAATCTATCTGTAGCTGTCTGTCAGTTGTTAGTCAAGTCCGTAACAACTAGCTAATCAAAAATAAAAATAACATCTCCTATTGTAGATGTATGGTTGATGGCAGATTGTCTGTTGATTGCCACTGCGAGCAGTTACCGGAGTCCCCCCTCCCCCTATATCCTTCTTGAGTGGTCACTTTGTGTCAACGTCCTGAGCATCTGGTTGAGCAGCGTGTCTGAAGGTGTGCAATCCTGCCCACCCCTATGCCCCAAGTCAAACGCCGAACCTGCCAGCCCCTGCACTTTATTTACCCTCGCATGCAACGAGCCGTACACCCGGTTGATCTGACTGATCAGGAGGGATTTAAGGAGAGCCCCCATCTCCTCAGGAATTATTTAACGTCGCAGACAGGACGACGAACACAGCCAGATTCAATTCCGAGTCCCCAGCCAGAAATGTTTAAAGACGGTCTGGTAAGCGTCTGTCGAAGGGCTGGCATGCCCTGCCTGACCTTTATTGCGCAAGCAGCAGAACCAAGGACTTGCGGCAAAGCATGCGTGTACTAGTCCCAGCGGGTTGGCATGGTGACCGTGACCCGAGTGCTTCGTCCAGGGCCCTTCAGAG